TGGTTTGCCTAGCCGCTTCAAACTTTTCCTTTTCAGGCTTCAACTTGGTTGCGCATCCTATGCCCTGGGTCACATGTTCAGTTTAGCATTAAATGTCCTCCATGCTGGATTTCTTCAATTTGATTGGCTTGGGATGATCACGAGATATAAACAAAGTGTTTAATTTTTGTATCTAATAAAATTTATACTGGTAGGATTTGAATATTCTATTAAGGTAAATTACATTATTGCATTTTTAATTTCCAGTATAGTTTTATTAGTCTAAAGAATTGTACATTTATTTGTCTTTAAATATACACATGTAGTGTATGTAATACCTATGTGACTTTTACTCTTGTGACAATAATAATTTTTGTTCAAATAAAATGTATACCGGTAGGATCTAAATATCCTATTTAAGGAAAAAGAATTTACCTTATTGCATTTTGACTTTTCCGGTATAATTTTATTTGTTTACAAAAATTGTATATTGATTTGTCACCTTATGATTTAATTTATATACGAATTTCATGAGACACAATGTATAGGTGCAGAGTATAGTGACATCATCAAAATCTATCAAAATTGGGTACTAACATATTCCCTTCACTGACTTTGGGTAGAGAGAGGTTATAGATGGCGTGGGGGGGGGGGGGGGGGGTCAATCTCGAGGAACAATTACTCCCTAGACTCTCCAAAGTGGGGATGCGCTCTGGAGTCCTCCCACATTGATGTTGGTGGCAGGGGGGGTGGTTTGCTGGGCCACTTGTTGGCGAAAGATGCCAGTCTGCCATGCTTGGGGAACAATAACGGCCACCTCTAGATGGTTGTTGAGTAGCTATCTGCTGACGTAGAGGAAAAGGAGGCACCACCACTATTTGGGCTGCCTGCCGGCGAAAGATGCAAGTCTGATGTGCTAGTGGGACAACAATAACCACCTCTTGCCGCAATGCCACTAGAGCCGCCATTAGGGACTGTTGAATAGTCGTGTGTTTCTGGTAGCACATTACACCATTGTTGCTGTGAGAAAAGCTTGCTATTTAGAGAAGATCTAACTTGATACCACCATTTAGATTCTCAATGAAAGCACCAAATGGTGGATGATCCGACCTTAGGGTAGGCAGAAATCCGGAGAGGAGAGACCAAAAAGTGCTAAGTGTAGATTGAGTAGAAAATTTGGCAGAGTAACAGTAAGTTTGTCTGCAAGAAACCGGATCCCGTTTTACAAGTTGGAAAATGATATTTATGGTGTAAAAGTAACATTTGGTGTGATTTCTAACAATACAGTGACAAGAGTAATACTTTTCCAACAAGTAAAATATGTTGATCTTATGATATGGTGACACGTGTAAAGCTTGATTGACAAGAGAATGGAGACAAATGGCTGATTAGTACGACACCTAACTGATTCAGTTCCCTTTGTACTAGAATGCACATGCAAGCCACACGTGTAAGTTCTGGATCCTTTTGTGAGTAACTCCCTATGTGATGTAAGCCCTAGAGAGTTGTCAAGTTTATGGCATCATCATAGATGTTTATATGGAACTTGAATTCCATAAATAGTTAAGTCCACAATCTCCCCCGAGGCCACGAGCTCTACGGAGTTAGGCTTGGGGACAGTGTACCGGTCTGAGAGGAGAGTGGCATCGGTTTGCTTAACCACTGCTCCTTTTAGTTCTTTAACTTTGAGGGGCGCTTAGTTGACTTCAAGCTCGCTCATAGCGTGGACTTTGGTGTTGACCCCAATGGGTGGCGAGCTTGAGCTAGACCGTAGTTCTGGACTTCACATGACAATCTGAGGACTGTTTTGGGAACCGAGCTCTGCGAACATCAGCTCAGGCTCGGCTATAGTTTTGGACTTATCGTGATGGTGTTGGGAATATTTTATGGTGTTCAATCTAATTAAATATCTTTGTATTTGTGTAGTTATTAATTAAATGTGTAATATGAGTCACAGATGTACTTCAACCCATTAGCCCTCTTGTAAGCCTTAAGTTAGACATCCTTATGTATAAAAGGATGCTAACTTAATCAAACCCTAAGTTTTGACAAGCCTGACATGCAAATATCATTCTTCGAGAGAGAGAGAGAGAGAGAGAGAGAGAGAGAGAGAGAGACGCACCTTTGTTCTCGATACCTTGAGTTGTAATTCGAGATCTTTGTTTGGTATTGAATCATAGTTGTTTGTTCTCTACTCTATATTTTATATGATTGTTGGATGATATTGGGACTAATGGTTTGAGAACCTTTGTTCTCGCACCTTTTTTACAGATGGCTTGAGAACTGATTTATGAACCGAACTAGGTGGGTGCGAGCTCATCCTCGACAGTAGCTCCGCACTTAGTGATTTCAGGATATTGTTTATCCATAAATGTTGATACCCATATGGTATATGTGGATATACTCCATCAACACGTAAACTTTTTAAATCCATGGACTTTTAAAAACTATCCATTAATTCCTAAGACAATACACCCCTTTAATTCCTAACAAAATTCTAAACTCCATTAAAATATTCTAGAATCCATATTGGGAACACCCCCTAAGATAGTGAGGTTCTGGGGGGCATAAATAGGACCATCTTTTGTTATGAACAAAAAAGTTATTAGAAACAATTGAAACGTCCAAAATGACCAATCATAATTCATGTATGGCTTTCGTCTTCAACCCAAGAGTTCTTCATGACTGCCACTGAGGGACTCGCCGCCAAGAGAATCACCACCGATGTTGTCAGCATTGGCGTCTCTATATCATTCTCTCTCTCTCTCTCTCTCTCTCTCTCTCTCTCTCTCTGCATGGCAGTCACATCTACTCTCTCGCCCGCCGCCACAACTCAGATCTTCGTCTTCTTCTCATTTCTTTGTTTTCTAAATAGTCGCCACCTTCTCCCCCTAAAGCTCGATCCGAACAAAGATCTAAACATGGAGTTGCTGAATCTTCGATGAAGCGATTGTTGTGGGGTGGACCATGGTCGCATATAGGGTTGTGCGGTTGTCGGCACGCATGGTTAGGGTGGTATAGTGGTGGCAACAACAGGTTTACAGTGGTTGTGGTGCAGTGGAGGCCGGGGAGGGGACTAGGGCCAATAAGGGGGCTAAGGCTAGGGCTAGAATGATGGGGGCGGGTAGGGGTTGGGGTGAGATTAGGGTTACCGTTGGGGTAGGGTGGCAGCGCGGGAAGTAGGTGGTGATCACTAGCGGTGGGCAGTGTTTACAGGTTAGCGTTGATCATTAGCTTATCTCATAACTGCCATTAGCGTTGGTAACTGTGATGAGATTGGATATCATTGTCACTAGGTGAGGGCGGGGATAAAAGTCGCATAAGTTTATGTTTTGGAAACTTTCCAAATGAGTACTGTTTTTGCCAATGAGTTTTAATTTACTACTCCCTCCCTCCCACTAGTCTTTGCCAACTTTTCTTTTTTTATTCCAAAAAACTTTGTCACTTTCATTTTAAAGCAATGAATTTGTGATTATGTTCAATTACCTCTATAATTTTTATTATTCCAATTCCATACCAATATATATTTGACAAAGTTAAGTGGGTGGGAGTTAATATCATTGTTGCCAAAACTCCATTTTAATTACTATGTTTGTGCGCCTCTTGTTTCAATCATGATTTGAACTTTGATTTGATTAGTAGTTAGTACCTTTGTCCTTTAAAAGTTAAAACATGACCATTTTTTACTTTCAAATGAATGTTGATAAAGTTTGGGTCATGATTTTAAGTAGTGTAATTAGGTAAACATGACTTATATTGACATGTTATGGGAAACATGAATTATACTACTTTCATCCCTTCAACTTTGCTGACTTTATTTTGGTCATCCTACTAATTTTGTTAATTTCCCTGAGTAAAGAATTTGTGATTTTTTTTGTTGGAAAAAGGGATATTTTATTGAAATAAAAAGGAGTACAGTGCGTGAAGGAAAACTAAAATAAAAGTACATGAAAGAAAAGAAGGAAAAGAACTAAAAGAACGAGAAACAAAACTAAAAGAAAAAAGAGCTAATCCCATGGGAAATCTCTGGATTGCGACCTAGTTTTTATGCTGTGGCGCCTTTCGTTCTTTTGAGATTTCCTGTAGATTTTGAGCTGCATGTTCAGGTTGTCGGTTGGTAGACAATTTTCTGAGGTTATGAAATTAGCTTTGTTGCAGATCGCAGTATTGAATTTGGATTTTTTAATTTCTTCCGGGAAGGAGATAGGAAGACGACGATCACTTTCTGTTGTATGTCCCAAGAAGTCATCTCTATAGAATGAGTCATCAGAATAATCAAAATCGTCAGATGCATCTGAGTAAGCCTGGATCAATGATAGTTGTGGGTGTTTCCCAGATGAGTGCACATGGATATTTTCAATATCTCTTCCCTGGATGTGATAATTAAAAATCAGTTTAGAAATTGAGGTGGAATCCTCAGTTTCTATTACCCTCCCGTGTTGAAGAGAGAATGAATCATCCTGCACTGACTTTGAGAGCCCTACAAAATTAGATAAAATATTAAGGAATAAAGATAGACTCGAGTTAAGGTGTCCCATGGGCATCTGAATGAAGCTCCCCTAGAATTTGTGTTTATAGATAAATTTTCATTCTCTACACAAACTTCAATCACACTGTTTTTAATTTATTAACTTGATTATAGTCAAACATAACAATTTTTTAAGGACAGAAAGAGTATGAATTATTAATACCAGTGCTACTTAGGTAAACATGAATTATATTGACATGTCATGGGAAACATGAATTATACTACTTTCATCCCTTAAATTTGCTAATTTTATTTTGATTATCCTACTAATTTTGTCAATTTCCCTAAGTAAAGAATTTGTGATAATAGATAATTTTTCATTCTCTACGCAAACTTCAATCACACTGTTTTTGCTTTATTAACTTGATGATAATCAAACTTAACAATTTTTTAAGGACGGAAAAAGTATGAAATATTAATACCTATGCTACTTACGTAAACATGAATTATATTGACATGTTATGTTATGGGCTTCTTATTTAAAATTATTTTCCCGCGCCTCAAACTAAACAACCCGATCGTTTCACAAATCACAATACCGGTAAACAACCCATTAGATACTCCCAAAACCACCACAATTTTTAGTTCGCTCAAGGAGAATGGAGGGAAAGCGTCCAGGTTACTCGCACTGTGAAGTATTGCGAAGGCTGAAAGGCATTTTAGTTTTTTTTTGTTTGTTTTTCTTTTAGTTTTGATTCATAGGAAACAAGAGAAGTTTTTTTTCTTCATATAAGCATTCCGTGCAGTTGTAAAATTTACAATGACGAACACATTATATTCATTCGACGTGACTTCGGCATACTTTTGTAGAGGTAACTCGATCTATTGTTGAAGATCTCGCGAAAAATCGCTCGCCAATCATTTACATCGATCGGTTCAGAAATTACTGCACAGATGATTCGGGAAACTGGTTAGATTATTTACAAAGTTACAACTTAATTAATTATCACCGTCGGTTATTAATAGCTTCTGCATATTCAGTTAGGGATTGAATGCCATATTTGTTCCATGTGTTGCGATTAAAAACCATATTGAATGCCATTGAATTGTGTAGGTTTATATGGTATAGACCTTGCTACAAAGTAATGAATTATGTTAGTCTAGTACTGCAGTGATATTCATGCCACGATTCTTTGTGCTACTGGATGCATTGTTATCATGGACTGTTGTGCGTGGTTCAGTTGGGATTATCATGGATATGAAATATGAATGTTACTGTCAATTTATGTCTTATCAAGTACAATGACCTTTTTATGTGTGCTTCTTGCTTTTCTCTTATACGCAGTTATTGCATCTCTGGTTTGTCCAATGGGAAGGAAGTCATTACACTGAAGAGGGAATGTCATGCGCGTAGGCTAGGTGACTTTCAAAATAGTCATTCTACAACTCTTGTTCCCCGTTTTAGCAGGGATTGGAAAATAAAGAAATGTATTGGGGAAAATGATCTATCTGAAATTTCATTTTTGGTTTGAATTATTATGGTTTTTTTTTAAAAGCAATTGTGTAAATTGTCACGGAATTGTATTTGCATTTTCCTTATTTATGGATTGAATGAAACTGATACAATCCAAGCCATTTTATCCCAAAATAATCCAACTTCTATTTATATCCTGTGTTGTGAATATATGCCATGTGAAGTTGGTAATCTAGTGTTGGTTGTTTCATGGTTTCCAGATGTTTTTTTAAGAGTGCTACTAATCATTCAGCAACTTTTGCAAGAAAACCGGCATGGTTCAAAAAGAGACATCTATTACATGCACCCTTCTGTTTTTAAAGGTAAATGAGGAAAGGTTGTGTTCCCTTCAATATGTGTGACAATGTGAGTTGTAGCACTGAATATTTGAACCAAGGACTTGTAAATATGCTCAAGAATTGTTGTGTAACACAAAAATAAAATCAACGGGGTAAACCATTGCCCAGATCCGTTGCTCAGAGGCAAAAGGCTAAAACCAATTTTATTCCAAGACCCGATAGAATGAACCCTAGCAAGGGGTATAAATAGTCTTCTAAGAGAAACCCTAATCAAGCCCAAATTAATTAAATCCTAATTAAGTCCATAATAACTCTACTAAGTACTCTACTAATAATATGCCCAAAGTAAAACATAACAATAACTTAATAATAATAAATAAACTCTAATGACAGCCCTAACCCGGCCCACGGAAGTGGGCCCAAGCCCGGTCCCGCTCCATGCTCTTCCCGCTCTCTATCAAGAATTGATACAAAAACTATTGCAAACTGATTCACTAGTCTTGTGTTTTAAAGTAATATGAAGTCCATATAAATTTTGTGGAAATATAAATATGCATTTGATTTCAATTGGTAGAATCTTCTCTTGATTGTCTTTATAGCCTGAATCTCTCATTTAGTCATTTACATTGTCTGCCCACAACTTTATATTATTGGCTTTCCCTTTCTTGATGCAGATCAAGCAACCGTTGACCGAGCAATTAATGATATATGCATACTTTTGCAATGCAGTCGACATAACCTGAATGTGGTATGAACTCTAAATTGCTCTTATAGCCTTCTATATATAGAAAGCATTATGCAATGAAATATGTCAATGAAGATATGTGCATATGACTATAATACAATTTAGCATGGACCCGTTCAGTAATTTTTCTTTTCTATCTTTTGCAGGTTTCAGTTGGGAATGGGTGAGTACCCATGCAGGATGAAAACAAATCACTATAGTGATAAAGTGTGTTAATGCTGTTTTGACCATAATATTAGTACATCAATGTGATTTTTCAAGTTTATTAATTTACCAGATTTTTTTTGCCGAGTGCAAGGAAATCCCTCCTTTTCAGAGAATCATTTATGTATAACGAATTTGATACTTCAAAAGACACTTTTTTCATCTGCAAAGAGTACCGATTGTAATGTCATACTGTCATAGCGCTGTTGGGCTCGGATATCATGCTATTTTACTGTTTGGCCATTGGTGTATGAGGAGACTTCTTGGTCAGCCTTGAAACTTAATCACACCCAAGCACCATTACTGAATCATTTAGTTTAGCATGAAAAGCAATTCATGGTAGCATGGAAATATTACACTGACATGGTTCAGAGTCTCTTGAAAGGTCAATGGTAGCAGAAGAACCAACAACGACCAACCCTTAGAGAATCTCTTGAGGTTCATTGGGGTCGATTACATGAACCAATGGAGAATCTTACGAGATTCTTCACCAAAATCTCATTCTCCACTCTTTTAATGTCATGTACCAAATGCTCATCAAGCGCCAATCCTGTAATTTATCTTTTTACATCTTTCAGTCCATGCATTCTCGACCTTCAATGGCTCCTCCTTTTTAAGTCTTTAACAATCTCTTGAAAGGATCTAGGGTAGTCCTCAAGTTCCTTAATGAATAGCCTCCTTGCCTTTCTTGTATGTATCATTAGATATATGTTCCAAAGCTTTTGCTTTCAACTTTTCACATTCCCTGTTTTTCTTTTGATTTAGTTTAGTGATGGGCTGGCTACAATTTGTGGAAGCTGGGAGAAAATTTGACTGTATTAACAGTCCAAACACAGTAAGCCTAACTGCGTACTAGCATTACAAATCAACATGATTAATGTACTGCAATGTGATATTCAAGAGGTTCACATTCTTGCAGGCACATCCCATTCCTGTTCATGTAGAAGAGGTTGAAAGTATACTTTTGAGAATGTCATGGCATGCTATAAGACAATTGTGTGAAATTTAGAATTTCGTATGGGATATAAGAATTAAGAAGGAATTCAGCAGGTTGGATATGTGAAAATGCAACTTATAGGAAGTGAAAAGGTTAGGGGGCGATGAGTCTCTTTTCTTGTTCTATAATTATTATTATAGATGATTATTTTATTATTAATGGTAAGGGATTAAGGAGAAGTATCTGAATATAAGTGGAGATACACTGTCTGCACAATGTTAAGTAATATTAACCTCAATCTGTGCAACTTTCGGATGGTATCCCTTAATGTGTACTCAGGTATTATAAGTGTTGCACAGTACATTTTAGTTGTGGAAAAGGAATCAGGTATTACTTGTTGTTTGCAGGGTAGTGATTCTTTATTACTTTCAGCATCTAACCAGGGCATGATTTAATACGTTCGTATACATATATATGCAGTATTCCAACGACTAGCAAATGATCAGTTCTGCAAAAGAAATCATTGCATTGTCATTTCAGTAAGCTCCTCATGTCAGCACTTTTATCTAATTCATGATATTAGTATCTAGTAATATTCTTTTTAACAGGGAAGAGGTTATCCGGATGTTCCCACTAGGAGGTAGGAGTCTCTATTCCACTATTGTTTCGTTCTATTGCAAGACTGATATCCTAAAAAAGAATCATCTGAATCATCACCATCATATATTATTGACAGATTCCTGAGGTTGCTTACTGAGAAGTTGTGCCTGCCAACATATTGCCTAGTAGATTGTGATCCTTATGGCTTTGACATCTTGGCAACATACAAATTTGGCTCCATGGTCAGATTTTTTAAAGCATTTAATTTTTAAAATAAAATAGGCAGGCCTAGTATCACAATTGGCAAACAGATGGCACTCAATAATGACACACAATCACACAACTTGTTTTTTGAAGCAAATGGCCCATGATGCGAATTTTCTGCGGATCCCTGAGATAAGGTGGCTTGGAGCCTTTCCTCTAGATTGTGATAGCTACTGTATTCCACAACAATGTCTTCTGCCCTTGACAGAAGAAGGTGGTGTTCTTTTCTGATGAACTATGGATTTTACTTGAGTTTCTTGGTATCCTAACAAGTAAATAAATAATGTCAGATAAGAAGAGAGTTCAAACAATGTTACTAAGATGCTACTTGCAAAGAGAAGTGCCTAAATGGAGGTTTACTTTTTTTTTATACATCGGAAAGGAACTTTTTGCTGATGTTTCATCTCGAAAGAAATTAACTCCAATTTTTTTGTCATTTGGATACTAAACATTTGTGTATGTGTGTTTTAGAATTGAATTAGAGCTGCTGCTACAGAAAGGAGTCAAATTTGAGCTTGAAGCGTTGTCTGCCTGCTCACTTTCATTTTTGACAGATGTTTATTTACCATCTAATATTCAAGGCGGAAGGTATATATGAAACATATTTACCATTCTTCTAGGCTCCCCTTGTATTCTTTATGTTTTACTGGGCTAATTCGTTTATGGAAAATCCGATATTGATAGTTCAAACGTGTGCTAGTTTTGGTTGTGGCAACAACAGGAAGATTATATATTACTCCGTGCAGAATCTCAAAATGTTTTGTTATCCATTATTTTCCTTTTGTTGATTCTCCATGCATAGTTACGCAACGACAACCTAAGCCAAAGATAGACTAGGAGTATTAAGGCTATCTTTGTGTTTGCAAGTGCTTTTTAAAAGTGATTTTTTGTAGAGATTTTTTTTATCATACGTAGTATTTTTTGTAAAAGCATGTAGTGTTTATAAATAGAAGTGGTTTGAATTAAAATGTAAAAATTGAAGTGTTTGATGAGAAAGTGATTTTGATGTCAAAATACCAAAATACCCTTATAAAATAATACGAGTACAAATTAAATGTTGAATCTAAAATGAAGAGCAAAAGGTACTCTACCAGTAGCTCATCCACCTCTTCTTTTGGGAAGTAAAAGACATAATATTTCTAGATAGTCATATTAAGTAAATGCCATTAATTTTTGTAACAATAAACAAAACGTTTTGTTAAATACTCCGTAGTAAAAAATATAATGGCTAGTCCATTCTTCAGATTCATTTCTCGAGACTTAGATTTGGTTTCATATGACGTGTCATTAGTTTTCATCATTTTATCTTCAGGATTTTTGTTATTGTTTTTATTTCTTCGGATCATTGGCCGTTAAGATTGAATTTTATTACCTTTATTATTACTAGTCTCTCACCGGTGCTATACTGCTTTGCACCGCGCGAGAGTTTTTATAAATTGAAAAAAGTGAAAATATTACTCCCTTCCCTTCGTCACATAATTAATTCTTATTTTGACTTAGCTTGAATGATGGATTAAATCCTGAAATTGTGTGGGTTAAAGTTGTGTAGAGAAAACAAAAATATTATCGACCATAGATTTCTTGCCATACAAGAAAGAAAGAGTTTATATACGAAGAAAGTTATATGTTTCAAATTGTAATTAAAGAAATTGATAAAAAAATATTTTTTACACGTAACCGTCCGGTCAATCACCGTTGCATCATCTCGGTAAGATGCCAAAGTGTGCATATGACATGGCAATTTAAGGGTCAAATAAGTCTCTGAACCCGATCGAATAATTCAATTCTTCCTCTCAACTATTAAAAAATATCAAAAGAATGAAAAATAGAAAAAAATACAAATATAATAAAATAAAAGTTGAAAATTTGATATATAAACTTTATTTCCACACCTTATAATTATACTTTATATGAAAAATGGGACAGTAACGTAAACACATACATTTTGTTATGTATGTTTCCGAGCTCTTACAAATTAGTTTTTGTTATTTGTTTTTATTTCTTCGGATCATTGGCTGTTTAGATTGAATTTCATTAGTTTTGTTATGTATGTTTCGGATCTCTTACAAATTAGGATGTGTTTACTTGGACTGTTTTCAGTCTCAGAACAAACTTGTACAATTATAAAAATAAACAGGAATCAGACTTTACCAGACCAGTTCAGATCAGACCAGAAAATTTTAGTCCAAGTAAAATCATCCTTAGTCCGTAGTCTTTGAAATCACTTAATTTGTGACATTATTAATTAATAAATGTTGATGGTTGAAACTTCTTGGATCCAATATCGTTTTAGAATCTAAAACGTTCAAGAATTGCATATACAATAGGGATGGACTCGGGCCGGGTGGCCCGACCCGGAACCGGCCCGGGACCGGTACTGTTCCGGCCCGGCCCGACCCGGTGGCCCGGTCAGTGACCGGTCCGGGTAGGCCCGGCCCGTGGGTTTTCCGGTCCGGGCTCGGGTCACCCAAAACAAGGCCCGACCCGACCGGGCTCGGGCCCGGTTCGGGTCAAAAACTATTTTTTTTTCTTTTTTTTCAATTTTTTTTTAAGTTTTCGGGTTGGGCTGGGTATTTTGGGCCATTTGGGGTGGTTTGGGGGGTTGGGGGTGGGAGGGGGTTAATTAGGAAGAGGAAAACAAAAAAAAAATATAATGGGCCCGGCTCGGCCCGGCCCGGACCCGGTGGTTACCCGGGCCGGTCCCGGGTCCACCATTTCTGACCCGCCGGCCCGCCCGGACCCGAGTCCATCCCTAATATACAATCATAAAAAGTAAACAATAACTATGTCCACCCCTCTACTCCTCACTAGGGATGGACCGGTTCCGGGCCAAGCCGGGTACCGGGCCGGGTCTGACTGGGCTTTTTTTAGGGAAGTGAGGCCCGAAACCGGCTCGGGTAGCTAGCAGTTCCGGCCCGGGCCGGTGCGGTCCGATTCATTATTTTTTTTCTTTTGCTTTTCTAATTAACCCACGACACCCCTTCACCCCACCCCAACCCCCCAAAACACCCAGCCCTACGCCCCTACCCGGGAAAAATAAAAAAATTGAAAAAAAGCCCGGCCCCGCCCGGTCGGTTCACTATATTTAAGGTCCGTACCCGCTCCGCCCCAATCCCTAGGACGGGCCTAGGCTCAGAACCGGTTGCCCAAGACCGGGCTGGTCTGGGCCCGCAGAGTAGCGGCCCGGGCCGATTCATGGCCCGGGCGGTCCGGCCCCGGCCCATCCCTACTCCTCCCGGTATTTGTATCATTAACAATTTAACACAGTTGCTGTGCGGTAGTGCCCTCGCCCCTCGTCATTCCCTGCCGGTGTAAAAGTTAAATTTCGATAACCAATAACTATTGTCTATTGAACAAAGAGTTAAATTTGCTAAAAAATAAAAACAAGATCAACGCATCATCTGATTTAAGAAAAGAATGAAGTTACATGGATTCCATTATGAATGTCTTTTCCTCTACGTAGAGAGAAGAAGACAAGGGTTTCACACTTTCACGTCAATATGATTTGGGATGAAAGAAAAATGTGTATTCCCTTATTGTTCATTCTCAATTTCCGACTTCTGTTAACTAATTGGTTCTAGTTCATGTGAATATGTGATGTGTATTCTATGATGGTTGTTTTTCAATTCCTAAAATATGATTCCTTTTAACCTGACATTTCTCATTTTAATATTACACTTTAATAATAAAAAGTGATTAATGTAGCCTTGCACCACCCACCCACTACTGCCACCCCACATTTGTCCACCGGTATCGTTGTTGTTGTCACCGATAACAGTGACTACCGTCTATAGTTACCATCAAAGTTGCATTCAATGACTGCCTCAACTTTAGTAATCGCCCTTGACATTTACTACCTACGCTTAATGATTTTGTCCAACTAAACATGTAAATTGCAATGAAGAGCATACAGAAACTTAGTTTATTTTTTAAAATACAAAAAACTTAGTTACTATCTAACAAACTAACTATTTTAGTGACTATCAAATGCTTAAAAAATCTAGTAAAAAGGTAATTTTTTAGTGACTAGTGACTTTAGTGACAACACAAGCATACTCTTCTAGTAACTATATAGTTTTTTGAAAAAATGACCTCAATATGACTTCCACACTCTTCTACTCCAAAAATCTGACCTCATTAATTATGACAGATTGTTAATCCTCTTTCTCTCCTAGCGTCTCGACACTCACCCTTTCGCTTCATATGTTTGCGCCTTCTTCCTTCGCACCAGAGCAAATACGAAGAGCACATCAGCTGACTCCTCCACCAAGCAGCACATCATCTCCACCTCAGGTCCCCTTCTGTCGCCGCCGCCTCCTCAGCTTCCTTGGTCGTCTCTGTCTCCGACGTTCTTTTCGTCCGCCGATAACAGAGCATCGTCGTCGCCCTACCCCGCTTCTATTTTCAAAAAACAAAAACCAACAAAATTTTTTTAAAAATTTTTATTTTATAATAATTTTATTAATTTTTTGTTATTTTTTTATGATTTTTTTTTTATTTTTTACAATTTTTTATGATTTTATTGTGAATTAAAACATTTCGTTATGAATTAAACCTTTATGGGTATTTATGGTTCTTAGAGACTCATATTTAGGATAATTTGTGATGTTTTTATATCTCATTTGAAAATACTACTAGTAGTAATTAAAGTTTGAGAGTTTTAGTAATTTAGGATATAGGGAGGCATTTGTTGAGCACACAAAACCCTTGTGTTGAATTTCACCCTCCGTCGTCTCTATCGACTGACTAGCAGTGCCATCCACGCTCAGCATCTTGCAAACAAAATGTCCGCAATACTTCGACGTCAGCGTATTTTGTCCTTATTTTCGAGGAGCAATCCTCACTTCTCCTCCAACGCTGCTGCCGAACCTCCCACGGGACCGATCGTTTCCTCTTCAACAATAATCGACAATCAGCACCCGCCGTCTCACACTTCAACTCCACCTCCTCCTCCTGCCACCGGAGCTGAAAAGAAACCTTGGGGTTTTCTCAAGTATCCGCTCATTGCCGCTCTTACAGGCGGTGTGGCCACCGCTGGATACGCTACTTACGGTTCGTGCTGTGCTTTTTAATTTCCACCTATCCCGTAGCTTCAATGTATGAACTGGATCTTCTCTTTGTCTTTTAAGTTGTTATACTGTGGGACCTGTTGGCTATGCTGTGGCCGTGTTTGGAAATATAGAGATTCCAGAATGCGTTGCAAGCGTACTCAACTCCCCAAAGCTTCATGAAATTTCACAATTTGCTTTCGCCAGTCTACTAATTATTTCTTATAAAACTTGATTTAAAAGATTTGAGCACATGAACATACCTTTAACATAGCTGTGGTGGTACGTGATAGAAATTGGATATTGGAACAAACGAGCATCTATTATTAGAGTCTGACTGGGGAATTAGAGTGACCAACAGAGTTGGTGCCGCCGTGTGGGAGAGAGCAATGCGAGGCTGAGACAATTTGACTAACAGATTCAGAGGCAAGTTGTAAAATAAGGATTAACAATTGAGATTTGAGGGTTACGGAAATATTTAGAGCCCATTTGGTAGATCTTAAATTGGCCCAAGTTTAGGTAAATTGGTGGCTGAAAAAACTGAATTGGTTGAATCTGCTCCATTTGTTTTTTTTAAATAAAGTATCTTTATTGATAAAATAAAGAAAAAGTATATTAATAAATAATAATGGAAAAATGGTCTTTCTCACCAAATTCATCCATTGTAGACACAAAATTAGGCAAAGTGTTCTTTGATTATTAACCAATTTAGCGTGGGGAGCCAAGGAATTAGTGTTACAAGGTTGATAAGCCAAAAATTAAGACCCCAAATGCAAACGCATTTGTCCAACAATCCACTAGATTTTTTTATGAACACATACTACGTAAATTCCATAATATCGCACACACGTCCTTCTGCCTGGCTTTACTAAATAGATCTGTTAGTGTATCAATTTGGTTTGACCCCTAGTATAAGTAATTTCCTTGCAATTTTGTACATTTAATCTTCACCATAACTGGTCCATCTTCATCTGCAGCATTCTCTTTGGATGAAGTTGATCAGAAGACCAGGGATTTTCAGGCAGCCAGCAAATTCACTGTTGAGGATGACACAGCAACATTTGATGTGAGTTTTTCAATCAGAGTGCATTGTCTTGTGAATATTTTAGCTACAATAGATAGAATGAAACTTGTGGTAATGAATATGATGTTTCTTCAATATGAACATAAATTTAGTTTACCTTATTTTTGAGGACTGCCATGCCTATTATAATCCTTCATTATGAAAAGTCAGGCAGCCGGGGTGTTAGTTTTGAAAAATAGGAGATGGCTTCACACAACAAGCATTTTACTGAAATAGTATAAACAGATTGACATTTTAAGGACTTGAAGTCTTGCCATTATACACCTGTTAGAAAATGGAAGTATATTACAGAAGGTTGATCAAAAGCATGCAAGTTTCAGCTATGAGTTCAACGCGTGGAGCTTTGGCATTAGTTTTTCTTTCTGTGTTGAGTGTTACGGAGTATATATCTTGGTTCCATTTGTATTATAGATATATAGCATGAAGTCGTGTTCCAGTAAAGTTAGTGTGTGTGTGTATATATGTTTGAAATTTAATGTTTCTTCTGCACATTTCAGAAAATTAAGGCTCGAGTGTATTCATCTGCAATGACAGGTAACACCATCATCCTACTGTATAGCTGATTTGTACGTATTTACACTCATAAGTTTAAATTTGAATGTATGGAAGAGCTTCTAGAATTGGGATCATTGAAAATTTAATGGGCTGACATTTAAACTTAATTGTGGTGTTGCTTCCAATGCTTTTAACTTTTATGATTTTATGAGTCAATAGTATGTACATATTAAGTTGTTATTATGCAATGCTCATCAAGCAGCACATATTCTCAAAAACTTCATCTTTACTAAATTGAACGTCTACTTTTTCAGTACCTGCCAAGTTAGTTGAACTTTACCTAGATTTGAGACGGTTGGCAGAAGAGCAAGTTCGAGTTGAGTAGCTATACATAGTTTATCTTATGTTTGTTTATCAGGATATATTCCTGTTATGAATTGTTTCTTTTATAGTTATGTTTGCTTATTTTTTCCCCGGATAAGATTGAAATTTCTTTTTTTGTAGGGCTATACTGAACCATTATCAGATAACCTACTCCCAGACTTGCATCCTTTGGAGCAACATGTGTATACCATTGTACTTGATCTCAATGAGACTCTAGTATACTCCGATTGGAAGGTAACTTTGATGCTTAAATGGCATAATACACACACCAATCCTAACTAGTTTTTTTTTGTAAATGTTGTGTGAACTTCCTGTCGTGCTATCATATTATCATGTATGTAGTATTATATATAACTCTCTTTTTTTAAAACCTATTATTAGCTTTTCTCTTTACATTATGATATCATTCCTCACACCCTTTCTATTTTTTCTTTCGTAACCAAATAATATTGCATCTTTAAATGGGGTTCTAGTGCCTCATGTGACTTTGCTACCCTTTTAAAGCGTGATAGAGGCTGGAGAACTTTCAAAAGGCCTGGTGTTGATGCATTTCTGGAACACTTGGCTCAGTTATATGAGATCGTCGTGTACTCTGATCAGCAGGGCATGGTACTTCCTAATTCATGTTGAACTTTCTGCAATATTTTTCATTTGAGTTTCTCACTCTTGGCATTTGCAGTATGTTGAACCTGTTCTTGAAAGATTGGATCCAAAGCGCTGTATCCGGTATAGGCTGTCAAGAGGTGCAACCAGATATCTCAATGGAAAGCATTATAGAGTAAGTTTATGTCCCCTGTAAACTAGTGATTCTTTTATGAGGGATGTCAGTGTGACATGATATATGCAGCTTTTGTCTTCTTGCTTGTTTCTCAAACTTCACTTTGTCATTGTCAACCTAGTATCACATTTATGAATATGCCTCTAGCCACATCCACCTGCCCACCATGAAAAAGAAATCGAACTGAATTTTCATCAGACAGTTTTGCAGAGCAAGGACATGGTTCTAACTCATACAGCTTCTATGTTGTAAAAACCGGACCGGGAAGCAACCCAGGTGAATGAAGGGGTCACGGGTTAACCTGGACCAGGCAGGTCAACGCCGGAAAACCCGGTCAACTTTTATATAAATTTTTATATTAATAAACATCTATTAATATATTTAAAAAAATTAAAATATTTATTCTTCACTATGATAAAAATATTATAATTAAGTCAGCAACTTTGTTATATTAAAAAATGTTACTACATATTTTATACTATGTGTTTGTTTTAGTTTTAAAATATTTGTATATGTCAATATAGTATTGAAAAAGAATTCTTAAGCATTTTTGAATATTTAATATTCAAATATATTCACACATTCATCATATTCTAAAATATAGTTTTAGTCCTATTTGAATCAATAATATTATTTGATACTTGTTTTGTACATCTATAAAATATTTACATTTGATTTTCTTTCTATAGTAAATATTTTAATATATAACATACTTTGTTCAAAAATAAATTTGAAGAACTACACTTATTATAAAATGTTAAAAGCATTTTATAAGAATTTAACTTATATTTGAATGTAATACACACAATTGGATTGTATAATAATAGAAACAATATGTATTATTGTACGTAGTATTTATTATGTACTAATTAAAACTTAGTAATGACATTTCTAAGAAGGAATAATCACTACTAAAGAATTCTATGTAACAAGATAAGGTGGTAAGTTGGCGTACGTCTAATCTTTCTTTTGGGGCATCTGCGTTCAAAACCAAGCCACGACAGGTTTTTTTTAATAGGCTGAAATTTGGATTTGTCCGGGTTCCCGGTTTTAGAACAGTCTGGGTCGCACCCGGGTCCAAGCAGGCTCTCGGGTTTATTCTGGTTTTGGCTACATTTGCGGTTCAATACGAATCGGACCGCATAAAGATCTGGTTCGCCGGTTTCCGGTCCGACCTTTCCTGTCCGGTTTATCAAACATAGTATAGCTTCCGTCCTTGAATCAACATTCATTTCGTACTTGATGAACATCTAGTCCATATATGTAGTACATTATGCATCCAACTAGCTGTGTTAGTTCAAACTAAAAAGAATGGTTGCATGTGAACATGCATTTCAAGTTTGATAAACTTTTACATGGTTAGTATTTTAAGTTATTGGGATTTTTCTCCTGCATTCTTGACTGTAGTTTAAAGCAGTTCAGTTGTATCAGTGGAATAATATGAACATGTAATTGTAAGCCCATACAACAGGATTGAATTTCTCTCTATTCTCTTGACTATATATAACAGGATATTCAAACGACTTATTATGGGCTTCATTAAAATTAGCATTTGTAAGAGTCTACCATCACTATTGCAAGTTGCAACAATGCTAGTCTGACTTGTACTCTAGATTTTCTATGTTGGGAGTTGTTCAATGTACCTGGATGCATCCCCTCACTCTTATGTGTTTCTTCTTAAGTTGCGGTCAAAATCTATCTAACTAGTTATATATAACTATGAAATCAATAAAGTGATGTCTTCTTCCAGGACCTCTCAATGCTGAACAGAGATCCCAAAAAGGTTTTATATATCAGTGGTCATGCACTTGAAAGTAGTCTTCAACCAGAGAATTGTATGGAAATCAAGCCATGGACAGGAGAACTCGAAGATACCACACTTTTGGATCTAATCCCTTTTCTTGAATGTGAGTAATTGCCTCAATTTTTCAGTTCTAACTTCTAACAATACGCTTTGCATGGAACTTATTGGTGTCAATACTGGTTTTTGATGTAAAATAACTAATCTCATTTGAGAAATCTTCCGGGTTATGCATAAAACACCAGAGGTTCCCCAAATAATACAGCTAACACTTGGATGACTACATAGATACGGAGTATAAAAAAAGATGTTAGTCTTTTTTATCTAGGACCAAATAGACATTATTTTAGGTATAAAAACATGGTAGTTTTACTTGGGGAATTTATGTTTTAGTCAGTTCGGTGCAACTGTTTCATTTGAATACTCTGAAGGAGCAGGGTTTATGAATTCGTCATGGTATGGATGCAGATGTTGCCAAGCATAGACCAGCTGACATTAGAACTGTGTTAGCTTCATACCAAGGACATGATGTTGCTAAGGAGTTCATTGAACGATCCAAGGAACATCAGAGGTGAACTACATAATTTCTCCCCCCCCCCCCCCCCCCCCCCCAACACAACGCTAAAGATATTATGACTTTCCTGGAAATGAATCCATCCGTCCTTACATGCACTGCTTTTGTCCAATTGTCATAATAGTATTTCTCAAGGTATGCACCTAGACCTGTTAACCTACTACCCACTTTGTCTAATGGTGCAGGCGAATGCAAGAGCAAAAGCAGCAGAGTCGCCTCTGGCGCCGCTAGAGACGCCAGTATGGGTATCAGTTTACTGAAGTGTGATTCTTGACTTCTCTTTTAAACAATGAAATGCTCTGGCCCATGATAGTACCCAATTTTGTGTAGTTCATAATTCTATCATTGTTCTGAGGTCTTTCTCTTTCAACACCCATACAGCTGCTCCCCTATATTTGTTGTTACCGACTAATTGTAATTTACATCCTCGCTTTTTTTGTTGAATAATTCTTTTATGAAACAACGACCCTATACCTTAAATGGCTTAAACAAACTCCATGGATCTGTATAACCCTTTCTTTTCTCCCCATTTCTCGAAACACTCTCACACATTATAGTAATCTATATACTTATGATTGATCTTACTCCTTGGAAACCCATCAACCCCCTCCCCCCCACACAGTTAAATTTTCATTTACACACCAGCTAAACTAAATGTTCATCAAAAGATTAGACCATTCTGGTGCTTTATCACCCCTTTTTTCCTTCAAATTTAATATACTCTCATCAGTCTGGGATAGGCATGGTCTGCATGGACTCGGTCCAGGTCGGGCACGGGTGCGATCCTGGCGGGATTCAGGACTCTGAAATTCAGGCTCGGTACTGGCCCGGTTTGTATCGGTTCTGGTTCGGGTTGGGCCGGTTATTTGTTAGTTTCTTTTTCAAATTAATTTAACAAGTGCTAGACATTAAAAATTAAATGTATATTTATTTGAAATATGAAGTACAATTGAGAATTGAGAAAAAATTAATGCATTAAATGCATTTGCTAAAAATTAGTTTGAATCTCCTATGGTTGGACTCGGGTCGGGCCACCCGGCCCGTGGACCGGACCAGCCCGCTACTGTGCGGGACCGGGACCGGCCCGGTTCTCGGGTCCGGGTCGGGCCTAGGCTCGGGGGTAGAAAGGGTCCGGGCTTGGGTCTCAAATTTGGTGAACCGGCCGGGTCGGGCTCGAGCCAAATTGATTTTTTTTTTTTTTTTTCATTTTTGGGGTTCCACCCGGGCTGGGCTTGATGGGTAGGATGGGTTTGGGGGGGTTTGGGAGGGTGGGGATTAGGAAAGCAAAAAAAAAAAAAACCAAACCGGAGGCCCGGACCCGGTGGCTACCTGGGCCGGTCTCGGGTCCACCATTCTTGAACCGCCGGCCCGCCTGGGCCTAGGCCTGACCTGGACCCGGCCCAGACCCGAGTCCACCCCTAGAATCTCCGCCAGCATCGATTGTTGTTTCCACCATGATTTGGCGACCGGGGGTTGCAAACTCTTTAGTTCTACACTTCTACGTCGTGCCTTCAACTAATCGTGGAAGCAAATAAGTGTCTCAAGAGATTGTGCGCTCAATCTCGTTCTACAATTTGTTAGGACGTTGTCGGCTTGACTAAATTATTCTTGTTCTACCACTTCTACGCCTTCTATGGTTACTGTTGACATCGATAGCATTTGCTTCGTCATCTACGATACAATTGGTAACATTCTTTCTTTGTCCTTCCACCATTTGAGAACGTCAATGTCATTTCCTTCTTCATACAATCATACTCACAAGGAAATGTTAAATATAAAAAAGAAAACTCGTTAATCGAGCTTTGTGCACGACGGGAGTTGATTCCCCCCCACAAGATTACGAAAAGTAGATGTGAAAAATGATTTTCCTTTAGATGAAGAAGAAGTTGGTTAAAAAAAAGAAGCAGTTGGTTTCGGCGGAGAGAGTGTGTCACCGTAGGGATGGACTAAACCGGGTCGGCTTGGCCCGGAACCAACTCGGCCCGCTACTGTGCGGGCTCGGACCGGACCGGGACTGGTTGGCCGGTTCCGGGCTTTTAGCCCGTTTGGGTGGGTCGGGCTCGGGCCAAGTTTTGGGCGAACCGGCTCGGGCGGTTCAGGCCGGGCCTGGGTCATATTTTTTTTGTTTTTTCAATTTTTTTTTCTTTTCCTAGGGTAGGGCTGGGTGTTTTGGGGAGGTTTGGGGGTGGGGGTGAGGGGGGGGGGGTCGGGGGATAACAAGAAAGCAAAAAAAAAAATAGACATTGAACCGGGCCCGACCCGGTATCAACCCGGGCCGGTTCCAGGCCCAAGGATTTGCAAAAAAAAAAGCCCGCCCAGGCCCGGCCCGGGTCGATCCCTACGTCACCGTAATGTGCATGAAACTCATTAATAATTGATAAAATAAGTTACTAACCTCGTTGTATTGCTCTTTAGGATCTATAGGCTTGTCTTCGTACATAGGTAATGTATCGAAAAAACAAGTATAATAATACTTTAAACAAGATTGATAAGTAGCAAGTTTGAAACGAGGATCAAGAACAAAAGCAATAACATATTAACATATATAGGCGGAATTTAGGGTATAATATTTTTAAAAAAATTCTTTCATAAAATCACAAAAATAATGAAAGTAAGGGGCAATGGAAAATTCAGAAAAAGCAGCGACAAGATTAACAACTACAACAAAAAATAGGTTTGAGGTAGTTTTATAAACATGACTAAAAGTTTGAGTTGCGTTGTTGAAAATTGAAATATACCAAAACATTGACAATTTTTTCTATACTTTCGATCTCAATCGGTTCTATAATACAATTAACATATTCTTTTAAACAATCAGGGAAATGATATTTAAATCTAATAAGTACAACAATTAAGTTATAAGTACTATTCCAACGAATAGACAAATCCTTAGGAAAAGCACAAAATTTAACATGTCTAGCTCTAAAAAGTTCACGCCATTGCTTTTTAAGTTGATTATTACCCCAAATAAGTCTAATACTTCAGAATATTTCAGAAGTGGTTAAACAGTCTTTTACACATAAATTCAGAATATGACATGCACATCACTGATAAAAAATCTACCATCAAAGTAAAAGGACCATACAATTCACGCAATCTATGAACAACAACTATACTATTACTAGCTTTATCAAAACCAATGGCAAACATCTTATCAATCAATTTATATTCAGTTAAAATACGTTCATTGAGGATATAAATAATATCACCGGTGTGTAGGTCATTAAATTCTCAAAAAACGAGAACATGTTTATGCCTTTCCCAGTCATCATCAAATATAATGTCCAGTCACACCCAAATAATATAAATGATGATAAATATCCTCCCATATATCACTACAAATACTAACACGCTCATCAAAGTTTGCGAAAAATCTTTTTAATATATTATTTTCAAAAACATTTTGCCTTAAAACTTCTTTTTTAAAGGTTTTATGACTAGTTTCTAAATTGACGATTTAAAGAATTTTCAGCACAAACTTTTAAAGCAAGACTTTCAGAAATAATTAAAGGCAATTTTTCCTCACAAATTGATTTAGACATAGCAGTTAAATGTTTCGCTTCATCATGAATGAAATTATCAGATGGTTGATTATTTGCAAACCTCGATATTTGTGATTGTGTCCCCTTGCCTTTCAATTTCGCCCGCTCTGTGGGGTGCCTGCCCTTCAAATGCCTAGGAGCGCCTGTTGTATCCTTGCGGAATCTCCAAGTTGATATTTCACTTACAATGTTTGCAAGTTGCATACCAATTGTCGTCTTCTGGGTAATTAAACTTATCAAAATTAAGTTCCATAACAAGAGATTTACCTTTCTTACCGGGTTGGGATGAACCGGTGCCTTGTTCCTCCTCCTTCATCGGGGGTTTGCCCGTCGGCTTATTCCTCTTCGGCTTGTTTTTCCTCCTCATCATCCTAGAGCTCTTCATTAATCTTGGGAATGTCTACTTGCTGGTAAAACCGTCCATGTCCTTGGGACAATGGTTGAGACTGTTGCTCATCAGACATCGCATCTCCCCGGTTGTAAGTCGTCTCAAAATCATGCAGTCGATTTTGAAAAGAAGCCCTGACATGTCTTTTACCTTTGTCTGGTGAATAATTTTTTGTTAACCGATCAAAGAGTCAAAGAGTGACATGTTACCAATTTACTGTATAATCTGCTTATTTTTACTCCATATTTAAAAAGCATTTCTTACGGAGTATTATTTTTACGGATAAACACACTAGCATTTGCGAAGACTGCCCATATCCTCAACGGAGCAACAATGGCGATTTCATCTCCATATCTCTTCCCAATATGCAATTTCTCCGCCATTGCAGCTAAACCAAAACTCTCTTTTCTTTCTATACCATCAAATTCTTGTAAGTTCCAGCCCATCAAACCCTTCCAACTCTCCACATCCAGAATCATTGCTGCCGCTGATGTTTTGGACTTCTCTGCAGATGCTACTGATACCGAGGTCTATGTCTATTTGGTTAAAATCAGTTTCGCATTTTTAGTGGAAATAATTTTAAAAAATGCTTTCTTCTTTTGGTGTTCATTTTGGGGTGTTGTGTATTTTGTGGTCTCTCAGGATGGAGTTTCTGCTACTTCATTACCAGATGTCAGCTTTGACTCTGATAAGGTAAAATTCATTTTGTATTTCTAACTGGTGTTATCTATCTTTGATGTTTTCTTATTTGCTTCCGCCCAGGGGATTAGTTTCAAATGTGGCTAAATTTCTTGAGGAAATGAATTTCCATATTGCAAATAATAGTGTGTTCAACTATCTGTTGTTATCATTATGCGTTGAATTCTTTTCATTAATACAGAGTATGATTTTGCATCACTTGCACGGTTTTTCTAATTTGTCTTTTGAGGGGTGGGATGGGTAAATTAGAGTGTTAGACAAAATAAGCTTAACCTCTTACGTCCTACCAATTATGTACCTCTCATCCAAAGGATTAAATTAATTAATTGCTTTTTTGGTATGCGGAAAGGAATAGAGTAGGAATGGAATTTAAACTCTTTGATAGAAGAATATGTAGGGAATCAAGAAGGGAATCAAAATAAAGTAGTTTGGTTTATTGGAATGAAATTACTTGGAGTAGTTGAGGAAGAAAGGAAAATGACTCAATGACTATCTTCCTTTTCTCACCTTACATGTCTAATAGAACAAATGTTACAAGGTTAGGGCTGTCCAATAAAGAAATTTGTATGAGGAAATCATGATAGGTTAGAAAAAGGTTTCCGCTATTGTAGGAAATTGAATCTGGGAAGATAATTTTCCCATGCAATAAGCACAAGGAAGAGTTGACTCAGGGAATCACCAAGGAAAGCAAAATTAAACATAGATATGATAAGTTGATAATACTTCATAAATAGTAAAGATGTAATGACAAATATATGGTTAAATATAAATAATGGATAAAAAGTCACTTTTAATGCACAATACCATGGTGATATTCCTTTTTAATGCATATTGACCATTGGGTTGTTTTTGTAGTGACCATGGTGACAATGCAATCATATATTTTCATGAGTTTTGTTTGTATAATATTATAGGAATACACCTGATAGTAAATCCAACAAATACCATTGTTTCCTAAGGTTAACTCCTTGATTCATGTTTTAGTAATTAAGTAAAAAATGCAGGGTGTAAAGGTGTCATTTGATAAATAGTAACCAAACGGATGCCTTTCCTATGATCAAAATTGCTGCTTCTAGCGCCGCTTAGCGGACTCTTACAGCATTAGATCTAAATATCACATGGAGTATTCTGGTCTACGTGCTGTTGTTCTCTGAATATATTCAGGAACTGCATGCTTTTGGTTGATTTATTTTATTGCATAGTGTTTGTTTGCAAATGTAGACCTAGGCTTTACATTGTGTTGCATGAAAGTTTTACCCATACTGTATAACTAAAGTGGATTGGATGTGCTGTGATCTGTTTTTGCTTGAAGTGAGTGAGGAGCTGAGATAATGATATTCCCATTTAAACTGTGGTTGGCATTTTCCTGAGCTGTAAAGCAAGTTGCAGTGAGCTGGTGAAGTACAAATCCAACTGTATGTGCGTGTCTGTGCGCGTGCACACACACTTTAGTTTGGACTAAATTTTTGATGTACAATTTGTACATTTGCAATCAACCATGCAATCAGTGATTATTGTTCAAGTTTTGGAGTCACAGCCGACCCACTGGAAGTTATAGATGTTATTTACCTAAGAACATCTAAATAAAAATATGCCACTCCATAGTAAATGCACAAGAAAGAGTTTTTGTGTGTGATATGTGGGCATGTGGCCATGTTTAATTTCTTTTATTGCAGAAACATTTAGTGCCAGAATTTTTGAGTTTCAACCATGTTTTACTAGTATAGTATGGAGAGATTTAAAGGGGAAGTGAGTTAAAACTTGTCCCTACTACAAGACCTAGTTATATTCTTATTGCAATTTATCAACACTCGCATTGTGGGAGATCTGCCAACAGTAACTTATCAAATATTGCACAAGTTGTTATTTGTCCTTTTCTGGTTTCCTGCTTATGATTTTGTCCTCCCCATGTGGTGGCCGTGTGATTGTTTGACATCCACTCTTTGTAATTGTTGCATGTAGTATGTAGTCTGATTAAGCGATGATAGTAGTTGGAAAACAAAAAACACTTTTGAAGAACATTACGATTTACTAGCCTTGGATGGATTCTTCTATACTATCTTCCAACCAGGACTGAAGCTAGATGTGAGGCTGAGATTAAGTTGTATTCTTAGTGTGATATATTTTGATATAATCTGGTAAACTTGGGTTACTCCTTTTAGTAAGTTTGCCTTTTAGTATGGAAGCTCAAGTCTGAATTTGGTATTATAGCCTATTGCATTCAAATGAATAATTCAGTCCGATAACCCAAAAGGAGCACATATATGATCTTGAGTTTCTCCAAGGACAATGTATGATATATCTCACTCTCTTTATTATTACTATTGTTGTTGCCGTTAATTGATTATGCCATCAAACTTAATAGTGGTAATGGAGAATGTATGTACTCAGGTGGCACCAAAAGAGAAGATTAGGATCAAATTGAAATCGTACTGGGTGCCTTTGATAGAAGACTCCTGCAAGCAGATAATGGATGCTGCAAGGACAACGAATGCAAAGACCATGGGACCCATACCGCTGCCCACCAAGAAGAGAGTACATTGTGTGCTTAAATCCCCACATGTGCACAAAGATGCCAGGTTCCATTTTGAGATTAGAACACATCAGCGCCTCATTGACATTCTTTACCCGACTGCCCAAACGATTGACTCCTTGATGCAGCTAGACCTTCCTGCTGGAGTTGATGTGGAGGTCAAGCTATGAAAAATTCAGGGTCTCTCCTTCGTTAACTCAACAGTAACCTTATTATTTCTTTACAGTTCTGCTTTTTGAAATCTGAATAGAATCAGTGCTGAACAAACATCGACTTGCCGAAGGAAATGATTGACACAATCTTTCTGTCAAAGTTTGAATGTTATCATTCATCATGTGCACTATAGAGTGTTTCTCCTTTTCATAAATATACTTCCTCTGTTCGGTTTTTAATGCAACCCTTCAAATTGGCACAAAGTTTAAGAAATTGATATAAAACTTTTTTCTTCCTGTTTTGCCCTTAGGTGCTGACACTTTCTGACAATCAACTAATCAAGCTCCATGTTCATCTTTCGCCATTGACACTTACTCCCTCCGTCCCTTAATACTTTGTCATCTTTCCTTTTTGGGATGTCCCAAAAAACTTTTCCACTCTCCCTTTTAATCAATTATTTTGTGGTTTCTGTTATTTCTCTCTCCTCTGCACAAACCCCAACCACACAGTTTTTACTTTATTATTCTCCGTGCCGGTCAACTTTGGCAAAATTTTAAGGGACGGAGGTGTTATAATTTTCTCTCTCATGCCTCTTCCTTCAATGAACATCTCTGCATAGTATTGCTCGTCTAAGTGGTTTTATCTCTCTTAGATTTTATTTAAATCCATTATTGGAGTCTACCCAAGACTTGCTCATTACTTATTCTTTACAGTCCTATCGGATCTTGACGGAAGTACAGAGAAACAGATTTGCATCGTTGTAGTTTAGGATTTCTAGCTTGAACTCCAAATTAAATTAAACAAAAGAGGAAAAACTAGAAGGTGATGAAAGAGGGGGAAAAGGAACGGCTGAGAAAAAAGCTTGATGAGAAGGCCTAGAGATTGGGGAAGGGAAGAAATGGACAAAGACGAAGGGTGGCCGGAGGGGTGGAAAGGGTAGGGTGGTGGGGAATATGGGTGCAGGGTGCAGAAGATGGACTCACAGAGTTCAAGGGTATGATTATCATTTTGGTTATTTGTTATTACCAAAAAAGGAAGTGTTACAATTATTTTGAAATTGTCAAAAAAAGAAAGTGTTACAATTATTTAAGAATGGAGGAAGTATATAATTACTTCTAACTGAACTTTAACTTCCTCTGTCAGGCCCTCCAGACTTTGTGTTTGCCTTTCTTACTTAACCTGAATCCTGAATATGTTGATCATGTAATTTTTATCATTTTTACATGTGATCAGGGACGAAAGTAGAGGGGGACAACCAAGGCCCATTCCAAATTTAAAGTGTCTTAAATTTTAGGGTAAAAAACTCTCTTTTTTTTCAAAAAATATTCTTTGTATCCGTTTAATCTGACCCAATGTCCTGGCTCCATCCCTGCATGTGATCTATTTCGAGGCAAGCAGGCTCAACAGGTCCAGGTGGCCCAAACACAAAAGTCAAGACTCCGGGCAGCCCATGCTATACAGGGTACAACCTTTGGCCCTATGCTCGAAGGCTCCATATTCAGGAAAACAATCACACCTATTCCAAAAACACGACTGGGAAGTAGGGCCAAAATCGATGGCCCTCGGAGATACACAGCCCTTGACATATACAGCCCTCGGGTATGTATAGCCGAAGACATCACACCGACAAGATCTCCTCTCTCCATGCTTCGAATTCCCGGTTGTCGGAGGCATCGGGTACTCAAGGGGGAACCAGAAACTTTCACGTGTTTGCTACCTCCAGATAACGAATAAGGTTAGCAAGGCCGGGCTCCGCGTGGACATCATCACCGGAACGGTGGAAGGTGAAAGGGAAAGGCCGAGGGTGGAACCAGCGGAAGAGGTAGAGGACTTTGCACTTTATCCGGCCAAGCCGAAGAGAGTCGTGAAGATAGGAACCAAGCTCCCAACAGAACTGAAGACCAACATCATCGGGGTCCTTCGCGCCTATGCCATCATTTTTGCATGGGGGTCGAAGGACATGTCGAGAATTCACAAGAGGGTAATCACTCATCGCCTGGTGGTGGACCCTTCTTCAACACCAATCAAGCAAAGGAGCGGGCACCTTTCGGCCGAAAGAAAGGACTTCGTGAAGGAGGAGGTCACCATGCTCCTCGCCATCAAACATATTCAGGAGGTGAAATACCCCTCATGGTTGGCTAATGTGGTACTCGCGCATAAGCCACACACCTTCTGAATGTGTGTGGATTACACGGATCTTAACAAAGTCTGCCCTATGGACCCTTTCCCTTTGCCCAATATTGACCAGCTGGTAGACGAAACAACGGGCTGTGAAATCATGTCATTTCTCGACGCCTTTCGAGGGTATCACCAAATCTACATGCACGAGGAAGACGCGGAGAAAACAGCCTTCATGACACCCGAAGGCATCTTTTGCTACCTGGTCATGGCATTCCGCCTGAAAAACTCCGGCGCCACTTACAAAAGAATGGTGGCAAGGGTTTTCGAGACTGAATTGGTACGCACCATGGAGGCATACATCGACGACATGATCGTCAAGAGCAAGGAATCCACAAGTCACGCCGATGACCTCCGGGAGATTTTTGCCATCATGGAAAAGTTCAACCTTCGGCTAAATCCAAAGAAGTGCACTTTCGGCGTGCAAAGAGGAAAGTTTTTAAGCTACATGGTTAGCCGAAAGGGTATCGAGGCCAATCCAGAGAAGATCCCGACCATCATCAACATGGAGCCCCCATGCAACGTGAAGGAAGTTCAGAGGCTAACGGGCCGTTTGACGGCCCTCAATCGCTTCCTATCAAAATCGGCAGAGAAGTCCCTCTTCTTCTTCCAAATTATGAGAAAGACCGTCGGATTCCAATGGACAACCGAATGCCACGTAACCTTCGACGAGTTGAAACAATACCTCCAATCACCTCCGGTGCTCTCCAAGCCCAAAGCAGGGGAAACTTTGTATATCTACCTAGGCGTCAGCCCCGCCGCAATCAGTTCGGTCCTCATATGAGAGGAGGTCGGAATCCAGCATGCTATCTTCTATGTTAGCAAGACCCTCCGGGAAGCAGAACTCAGGTACTCCCCCATGGAGAAGACAGTACTGGCTATCGTCTGGATCGTCAAAAAATTGGGCCATTATTTCCAAGCCCATCCGGTGCATGTCCTCACTCATCACCCCCTCGGCGCATTGATGCGAAGCCCCACCAGTTCCTCCATGATGGTGAAGTGGGTCATCTTCCTGAGCCAATACAACATAAACATCCATCCGAGGCCTGCCATAAAGGGCCAAGCCTTGGCAGACTTTGTGACTAAATGCACGGCTAGATCTTCAATGGTTGCAGAGCCCTCGGCACAGGGAGACGAGTGGTGGACCCTTTACGTAGACGGTTCCTCGGCAGCAAAAGCATGCGGGGGAGGTGTGGTCCTTATCACACCCAAGGGCTTCCGTGCCTACTATGCAATTCGCTTCTCATTCAAAGTTTCCAACAACGAAGCAGAATACGAGGACCTCCTCTGTGGCCTCCGGCTTGCGGCTTACCTTAAGGCAAGGCTAATCCACGTGAGGTGTGATTCCAAACTAGTGGTCGGCCAGATCTCCGGGGAGTACGAGGCTAAGGAGGGAAGGATGAAGCAAACAGAGAAGCAGCCAAGGAATTGCTCAAAGTGTTTAAAGCACACTCCATCACTAAAATACCGAGGGCTTAAAATTCTGAGGCCGATATTTTATCTAAACTATCAGATGAGTCCCCGGAACATCTCTCCAAAATTGAGAGGATAAAAGAACTCAGACTCTCAAGCATACATGTCAGCCCCATCATGGATACACACCAGAGGCCAGAAGACTGGATCTCAAACATCACCAACTTCATCACAACAGGGAAACTGCCTGAAGACGAAGGTCGTAAGAAATTAGCAAAGCTGAGGGCTCCGAGCTACGTCCTCGAGAATGACAAACTTTACAAACGATCCTACAACGGTGCGTTACTCCGATGTCTCCACGAAGAAGAGGCCGAAGTCGCTATGAAGGAGGTACACAGTGGCACCTACTCATCTCGACAGGGACCCTTCTCAATGTCCCGAAGGCTAATCATCCAAGGCCACTTCTAGCCTACTATGGCTCGGGATTGCGCAGATCTCGCCCGGAAGTGTAACGCTTGCCAACACTTCCAAAAGGCTCCGTGAAGGCCCGTGGTAAATTACACTCCTGTCAGCACAACAATACCCTTTTCAAGGTGGGGCATTGACCTGGTAGAACCGTTGTCGAGGGGTACGTCAAACAACAGATACATAATCGTGGTCATTGATTATTTCACGAAATGGGTAGAGGCAGAAGCCTTCGCTAGCATCACCGAAGCCCGATGCCGCCGTTTTGTCCTAAAGAACATTCTTACCGGGTTTGGCACCCCCAGCAGATCGTGTCCGACAACAGAACTCAGTTTGAAGCAGTCCCCTTCCGTGACCTCCTGGAGGCATGGGGAATTAAGCACTTTTTTTCTTGGGCCGCCTACCCACAAGTAGGGGAGAGCGTCAGGCGAGTTCGGGTTGGACGAGTTGAGATTTGGTAAACCCGTTCGGTTATCGGATTTGTAATTGGAAACCCTACCCAATCAAAAAATATTATCGGACTATTCGGGTTGCACAAAATCGGATTGCGGTCGGGTTGAATCAATTTTCGGGGTCATTCGGGTTGTTATGTACTTATGTTGAAATTGTGAGAAATAAAGTGGTAATTGATTAAAAACCATAACATAATAACATTCAAAGTAAAAGTTTGTTTAAATATAGTAATAGACATTTTAACATGCATAATAATATACCAAAAATTACATAATTGGATGAATTGCATAGACCTGTACAAAAATGGGTTCGGGTCGGGCTCGGGCCGGGCTTTTTATAAATTTTCTGCCCATCATGTGTCGGCGGGCCCGGCCCGGCCCGCAAAACGGGCCTAACCCTATGTCCATACCCGCCCATAAGAGCGGGCCGGGTAGTCCACCGGGCCGCCTGGCCCGGGAATACTTTAATTTTTTCAAAATTATATGATTTTTTAAATACTTTAAAAATAATATTACAACATTTAGAAAATAATTAATATGCTTATAATGTTTATACGCCTTTCACCACATACAAAAAAATACTTACACAAAAATAATAATGAGAAACTATATCTAAAATTTAAAATTTAAGCACAAAGTATTATCTTTAAGTACGAAACTAGATATTATATTGGTTGGGCTAGTTGTTAAGAACTAAAAATTTAAATTTAAACATAATAAATTATAAATATGTATAAAGAAAAATTAGTA